TGTGCCTGCAGCCTGCGGCTCTGCCCCGCCAGAGCCCGGGTCAGGCGGGGGCCGGGGCAGCAGCACGGCCCGGAGCAGCTGGGGCAGCTCCCCCCGGGCGGAGGAGGGGATCGGGGATGGGGTGAACCCCCCCGATCTGATGGTCCCGGTGCTGGAGCTGCGAGAAAACACGAGGACAAGTGACCCTGGGGACTCTCCCCCCGCACTGTGAGGAACCCGGGGGTGTTGGGCGAGCACCCCCCAAAAAAAACGGGTCAGGAGGGTGATGAGATGGACGGGAAACACGGATCAACCCACCTCCAGCTGGCGAAGTGGAGGCCGTGGCCGTGGCCGTGCCAAGAGCTGCCGTCCGGGCTTGTGGGATGCTGAGGGTCATCACACGGCAGCCGCTGCCCACGGTGCCCACGGCCAGGCTGCGGCTGGGCTGGGGCGGGTCTGAGAACAGGCTCACCTGGGCAGGGACGGCGGGTTCAGGCACCCACCCCGCACCCCGATGCCGGCACCGCCCACCCACCGTGCCCCCGGGGCACCCTGAAACACCTCAAGTGCGTGGGGGAGTGGGGGGCCACAGCCCTGCCTCAGTTTCCCCACCCACGCAGAGGAACAGAGCGGGAGGTGGCAGAGGTGACACGGGGACACGCTTCCGCCGGTGGCACTGCCATCTCAGTGACGTGCCTCGCCATTTTAGGGACACTCTGGCTCAGCCGCCCCCCTGGCATGGAGGGGGATCCCACCACGAGGTGGGCACGGTGGTGCCCATTTGCTGTGGGCTCTGCGGTGGCCTCACCCCTCCCTCCCCGGGCCGGGCTTGCTCAACCGCAGCTCCCCGCGAGGAGGAAGAGGAGGAGGGCCGGGGGAGGAAGACACGCTGAATAACCTCAGGGAGGGAGGACCAGAGTGGGGGACCCCCCAGAGCCACCCCGACCCCACACCCACCCTGGCCCCCAGGCGCAGCTGGTCGATGGTGTTCTCAGCCTCGGCGTACTTGGTCAGCAGCTTGTGGTAGTCGTCCTGCATGGAGGGGACACCAGTGGGTGATAGCACCCAGTACAGGGGGGCTGGCAAAGGGGGGAGACAGCCCTGCGTGAGGACAACAGGCCTTGGGGGGGGGGGGGAGCTCCTATGGATGGGCAACACTCTGGAGTGCAGAAACCCACCCCCCAAAGCACCCAGCCCTTCTGGGGCAGATGTCGACCACGTTTGTTTACATTGGGAGAGCTCCCCTCTCCTCCCAGGGGACAGGAGGGCATCCCAGGGGACATCCCAGTGCCTCCAGCCTGAGCACCGCCCACATCCCTGTCTGCTCTTTCCCCCTCCTGCCCATGTAGGACTGAGAAGGGGTGACCACCACCAACCTCCCTTGGGTGACCAGCACCAAATCCCACGGGTGACACAGCACCCGCTCACGAAGCCGGTGACATCCCCATTTCACCACCACCACCATCTCTTGTTCTCCCCCACCTTAGTGACCCCTCCCTGTACGGCCTCTCGGGCCGGAGTGGGAGGAGCTGGGCGTTACCTGGAGCTGCTGCACCAGCGCCGTGGCTTGTTTGGGGGACCTGAACTCCTGTGGCAGCCCGGCGGCGCTGAGGGGCTGCTGGGGAACCCCCTCCCCGCTGCTCAGCAGCACCTCCCGGACGATTTCGGCCGGGGACTTGAAGCCGACGGGACCACCGGGCACCCTGGGGCGGGCGGGCAGGACCCGGCCCCGGGGGGGGCGGTAGCTCTGGTCGAACTTCACCCGCGCCTCCACCTTGGACAGGTCGGGCAGGGGGTGGTTGAGGCGCCCGCGGCCGTACTGGGTGCCATCCGTGCCCGAGGCATCCCTGTGCCCCTTGCCTCCCGTTCCCCGCCGGGGGCTCAGGGATCGCGACTGTCGGGCCGGCTTGGGGGGCACCACCGTGGGCGCCGCTTTTTTGGGCACCCGGGACCTGTCGTGCAGTTGGGGTGCTGGGGGGTTCCCGGCGCCCCGGGGCTCCTCCGAGGGTGCCAAGCCAGTGGTGCCAGGGGCTGTTTGGGGCTTGGGGACAGGCTCGGGGCTGGTGGCACCGCGGGGGTCATCGGTGGAGTGGGGCAGTGGGAGGCTCCTTCTCGGGGTCCACCCCTGCCCGTGCCCTCCAGAGGTGTCCCCGGCCGTGCCCCAGCCCCGGGGCCGGCGGGATGCGGTGGCAGGGCCAGGGCTGGTGTCCGACAGCGTCGAGGTGTCCCCACCATCCGTGCTGCAGCCGCGGGGCTGGCAGAGAGCCTGGTGTTCCTGCAGAGCCTCGGGGCTGCCGCTGGACCCCGAGCCCCACCGGCCCTCGTAGGAGAGCTCGGGGTAAGGCTCCCCGTCACTCTCTGCCCCCCAGGGCCCCTCGTCCCCACCGGAGCTGCCTCGCTCCTCGTCCTGCCCTGCCAGGTCCCGCTGCGGGTGCCAGCGACCCTCCTCCACCGGGGACCCCTCCTCCAGGTCCTCCCTGTCACCTGCAAAACACCAGCGGCGCGGGGCTGCTGCCAGCCGGACCCAGACGGTGCCCCCACCCTTCCCGCAGCCCCCCTTGGCTCCAGCGCATCTGGGACCACTCCCGCGAGGGGCTTTGGGCAGCAGGGAGGGGAGGACTCACCCCACGGTGGGCTCCTGGCACCCTCCCCCAGGCCGATGACCCCGTCCTCGTCCATCCGCCTCTCAAAGTCGTCGTCTTCCTCCTCCTCCTCCTCCTCCTCCTCGTCCTCTCCCTCCCAGGGCGTCAGCTCTGTTTGTGTGCAGTGCAGCCATGGTGCCGGGCTGGCCATGGCCGCGGGCACGGCCGCCCCTGTCACTTGTGCCGCTTCATGGCCCGATGGTGGCGGCGGGCTGGGGACCTCCTCGTCGCGAATGTAGGTCACAACATCGCCGCCGCGTCCTGGGGGGTGGGGGGGGGGGAGGCGAGGGAGAGGGAGGGATGTCAGCAGGACGTGGTGGGCTCTGTTTGAGGTGTGTTCCCTCACTTCCAGGGCTTCCCTTGCCCCCCAAATCCAGGGGAGGAGCAGCCTCCCCTCCCAGGGAACACCCAGCCCATGCTGGCACCCTGTGGATGTCACCCCAGCCCCGGGGACCATCAGCGGTGCCATCACGGTGCAGGATGGTGCTGGGGGAGACGGGAGCACCCCAAAACCCCTCTGGATCTGGGGGGCTGACAACGAGAGGGATCGCAGCAGAGACCTGGCACACTCATTCCATGAATAACCCAAGAGCACGAGCTCCCCCTCACCCGCTCCTGGGGTTCCCAGAACTGCAGCAGCCGCTCGAGAAACGCCAGATGTCAAAACCCCAACGCGGGGTGTGTATCAAGAAAGGTCACGGGCTTTTCCCATCAGCATCCTCCCAGGTAGATTGAAGCCCAACCCTCCAAATTTTGGCCAAAAACCAGGCGCAACCAGCCCCGTGCAGGGGAACTCACCCGGTACCAGTCCCCCCAGGACACCCCCATCACCGTGAGCCCACCTGGGGTTCCCAAAGCAGCATCCTTCAGGGCACCCCAAACCCTTCCTGTGCCTGTGGGGCAGCTGAGCTTTTGCAGAAGTAGGAAATGATGCTTCCTGCAAGTTTGCAGGCAGCCACCAACTTTTTAACCCCATCCGGCCCTGCGCAGTGGGGGCTGGACCCTCCCCCCACAGCCATTTTCCATCCAAACCCTTTGTTTTTTTAATCCAATTTGGAGCAAAACGCTGTAGGAAAATGGGGGAGGAGGGTCCCTGGGACCATCAGCCTCTAAAAGACATGAGGATGAGGGTCAGGAGGAGGCACAAAATTAAGCCTTAAAGCCCCAAAATTCATCCATCTGGACGCTCCCCTCAGAATTTCCAACCCTCTCTGGATTTGCAAGGAGTGGGGAGTCCACCTAGCCCCCCACGCCGAGATGCTGCTCACAACCCCAGGGATGCCGCAGCCATACCCAGGCACCGTGGCACGTCCTGGCACATCTGCAGGCCGCCAATTAATCAGCTCGTTACTGTGTAATTAGTGGCACGCGGGGGAGAGCTTGACGAGCTAATGAAACCACGGCACGGTCGCTGGGGTGGCTGCCTTTAGCCTGAGGGTGATTTTGAGGTGCTGCTGGCTCGAGGGTGGTAATGATGAGCAGCAAACCTACCCATGCCACCCACACGCTCCAAGTAAAGTCCCCTAATCCACTCCCAAGCCTCAACTCTGCAATTTTTTGGGGTGTTGGTGGGGGTTTGGGGGTTATTTTTCGGTGCCACCTGGTTCAAGGTCCTTGGGCATCAATCCTTGCAACTCACTCCAAGCCCAAGCTCCAAGGAGCTCAAAGTTCCTGCATCTTTGGGGTGTTCCAGGCAGGGAACAAACCCCAAATCCCCCTTTAGGGTTTTGCAAACCCCCTGGGCTGTTTGCACGAGGCTTTTCCCCAACACACTGCCTGGGTATCTCCACACCTGCAGATGCTCCACAGCTTCTCCTGCCTCCAGGGCTGCCCATGGGATGCTTCAGGCCCTGCACTAACGCAGCTAAAGAGGGATTTGGGCTTTAGGCCCTCTCTGACCTGGGACGTTTCTAGTCCTAAACCCTGAATCACATCCTAAAACCTGGAGATGGGGCCTGGAGATCCCCACCTAAGTGTCTCCCATCCCACCTCAAGCCCCTCGGCATCCCAGGGTGATGAAGAACCCAGACACCACCCCTGGGGGTCCCAGAGGGCTGGTGGTGGGAGAAAGGAGATTGTGGGTCCTGTTTTCTTGGGACAAAGAGGATTAAACCATTTCCCACCCGGTTCTGGCTGTTCTTTAACCCCATACTGGATATTTTGGGTCTCTTTTGGAGGGGTTTGAGGGAGGCCATGCCCAACCCACACATCATTGGCTGGCACCCCATTTCTGAGCAGTGGTGCCCAGGCTGCACTGCCCACAGCAGCCAAAGTCTGCAGGAGCCACTTCCAAATCCAGCCACATCTATTGCTTTTCCAGAAAGTCCCTCCACTGATGGTCATGGTGGTAAGAGAGAAAAATCTTGGCTTTTTTTTTTTTTTTTCCCCCTCATCTTTTCAGTGAGTTTCTCACTGTTATGGCCAGTCTCTTCGCGAACGAAGAACCGGGGAAGGTCTTTCCACCTTCCAGCCTGCACATTGGATTTTTTAGGTGAGACACAGTGTGCGCGGAACTGAGCCCACCCTTTAATCCTGAGGTTCATCTGCCGGGGCCAAGCGAGCTTGGACGGTGGCAGCGAGGTCCTCAGGACGTAGATGGATTGCCTTACAGGGCTAACGAGCTCCATCTGCCCGGGGAGG